GACAAAAGTGTTTCTACAATTATTGATATGTTCTCAATCAGTTTAATTAATACTACATTTATACTAGTACATCAATTGTTGATATCAAATTCTTTAAAATGATGCCATTAATCCCATATTTCGTGTGTGTACACTTATGTAAGTCAAACCATGTTGAGTTAACTCAATTAAAAAATGTTATTCACGAGGTTAAATAAAGATCTTTCTGTTAGGTAAATCTCGAGCAACAAGGAGCCTTCAAATCTATTAAAGGGGCACTGATCTAACGCAATTCCCCGGACTGGTTGTTGCCTTTGTTATTGTTTTTTCCCCCGTGAGTACCCGGATGATACGCAATGCAACTGAGCGTGACCAGAGACTGGGCTACCGTCTGCAAGGACAGCTAAATAAACTTGGAGGCTGGAGGCAATATTTGTTTTACGCATTTTTGCATAAACACTGATTGGTTAACTGTGATCTATAAAGATTTCGACAAAGGGCGCATGTTAATTAATTTCTTCAGCCTAAACAAACAGACAAAAAGAACGGCGCGGCTCATCGGATGTCGTCATTGGAAATACCCCAGATGGTTAAATACACAAAAAGTATCCATGCAGTGAAAGCACTTTCGGATTTCGGATTGCGTCGATAATACGATTACTACTCCCTTGTTGTCATCCACGTTTTCTCGTATAACCCTACACTTGTGTATTTGTCGTCGTTCACTTGATGCTCAGTAGATGAATTTATTACAGGTACAATTAGTGGTAGCACCACTTAGATTACCTGACAAAGGTTCCCATTTGGCATTTATTGTGTCTGGGGTAATTATTCAATCTAAATCCAGGTTTGAAGTGAGGTGAAATATGTGTTATGTAATATGCACATGGCAGCCCAGCAAGAGATGAATGATCAGTTGATTTACTTTTTTTGTAAATCAACGGATCGTTCCTAGTCATCAAAGGATTAACAGAAAATACGTTGATTGATTAATCACTGTTATCTTGCACAGTGGATATGTCAAAAGTGAGTGTTTACGTGTCTAGGTTTACTAAAACAAAGGGAATACACTCATATCATGGCGTGAAGTGCCCATGTAAAAACAACATACTTTGTTCAAAGGGTTAACTGATAATAGGTTGATTGATTGATCATTGATATCTATCACTCAATGGATTTTTTAGGAACCGTGGACGTTATGAATGTTAGTTGTCACGTGGGCTTTCTCAGCCGACCCTTGAGACTTGACACCTATGTGAAACACCTGAAACAATCCAAGTGATCAGTTGAGAAACGAACACGGGTTATAATATCCCGAAACGATATATATCTTTTAAAATATTTGATTGTTACAGCGACAGGTGACATCGAATAAGTTTCTTTGTACAGCTGCAGACGAGTGGGATATTGTTCCTTTGTGTGGATATTCACGGATACATTCCTCGAACAAGGAAGCTGCCTAAAATTTATACACATAAATTTGGTAGGTTGTAATTATGATATTTGCATTTTGTTTTCCTTCATTTGAACCGATAATTCGTTCTTGTTTCTCTACGTCTTGGTTGGGAAATTCTTCAATGCGCGATAGACGATGTTTTCACAGGTCTTTTCCTTTGTAAGCGTGTATATATTACCGTCAATTTGTAAAATGTTATTCTCTCAGGCAATTTATAAAATGTGAAAATATTTCAGTTATTTTGACTAAAAAATCTGTCCAGATTGATTAAGATAATCAAAAGGGCCTACAAACATCACAACAGATTATTATGTAGGATTAGAAGCCAAACAACATAGAAATGTGCTTTACAACGTAACATTTTCAGTCTCTTGGTGATGACATTAAACATCAAAATGTTTGGAATTCGTTATCATAATAATAGGGATGGAAAAGTTTTTCAGTCGATTTTTTAAATAACTGAATATTTAGACGTTTAATAAATATGTTACACATTTTGACAGTAAAATAATATACACACTATAAAAAAAAGCAATGCTCAGGTGAAATATTTACTTTATGTTGCAAGTCAAAATAGTGTAAACGAAAATCGCAAAATTACCAAGCAAGTGACTTATCAAAACTTCGTCACCATTACCGATGCTACCCACAAAGATACCTACATTTCCTTATTATCTCGAAAACTGTATTTCATTTTGTTGATCAATTTGACCATACGCCCTCATTACTACCGGTATCCATAGAAGTGACTAATGCGCTTACGAATGGCGCAGCAGAGGTCGCGAACTAGTCTAGATTTCTGCTATACATCCGGGTACTCACTGGGAAAAAACAATAACAAAGGCAACAACCAGTCCCGGGGAATTGCGTTAGATCAGTGCCCCTTTAACTCCAGGAGCTGAACATCAGACTAGGCTGCTAGAGATGAGAAGGGTATATTATAATGGAATTGGGGTGATCGTTTTAATTAAAAAAACTATGAAGAAGAAAATTATTCAATGAATGTCGCGATTTGCGTTAACAGTGTATATAAACAGGAGAATAACATAAGTAAAACTAGCGAAGTCCAGCCTCTCACGAGACAAATACTATTAAAATAATGGTTATGTATATAAACACACAAAATGATTAAACTAAAGAATAAATAACAAATAAGATACAACAATTAATTCATTTTATCTTGATAGAACGTAAAGAAATACTATGCCGTGATAGGAATGGAATATAGCTAAAAGCGGCGTAAAGAGTTCTGACTGATCTATACATGACCGTCCGGATTCACGGGGTTATGTGGACATCCTATCAGCTGTGTCATTTAACACGCCGTGTACATTTGCCATTTCTTGAAGCAGAATTGTGACTTTTTATATTCGTAAATCAAACGCCTTCTTTTTTAATTTTTTTCTAAACAATGAAATACTAAAAGCATTTCTACATAGATCTATTTCAGTTTTCATTTTCCTCTGAACAATCCCAGGGAGTTAGTTATCTAGGATGATGTTACCGTATTTCGGAAATATACTTTGAACGGTTGATGCGTATCAGTGCCATGCATTGTTTGATACCCTGAAAATTCATTTGAAACCGATACGTCGTGATTAGTCCGGAAGATTTCCTTGCTTCAGTTTACATTTAGCCACGTTAATAGCCTCTGTATCTCCAGGGTTTTGTATATCGTATAACCTGCACTCACCCCTGGGTCCATTCCCGTACACTGACATTTACTCACAGAAATATAGCTGGTCTTATTTCAAAATATAAAAATAAAATCCAAATGGAACCCAGAGCAGTCCTTAATTTCAGCTCCTGCAATCTAGACTTGCCAAATCATTCTAGACTTGAGTTAAACTCCTTTTTACTTTCTTCTCTACGGTCTTGGAGACAGGCAACCATTCCCGTGGTCCTCACGATCTCAGATTACCCGCCCTCGATTTTCATTTGCCAATTTTATTTGCCACGCTACTCAGTCTAACGGACCAATCAGAATGCGAGTTACAAACCAGCATCAGTGTAGGGTTGGCGATATCAGCAACATTGCGACCAGTCCCCTTGATCACGACAGAGATTGCAAGAAATTCAAAATTGAAAAACTGATTAACATATAAAGAAAGGCCTAAAAAATATTTTGGATGGAAAATGATGACGACATGTCCATTAAAACTGGCGGTGGCAAGACCAGAACCTTTTCCTTATCTCGACGTTTAATTGGTCGGCAAAATGTTCATGAAAGGGTGGGAAAGTACGGAAATGCCAGCCCTGGAGATGCAGAGAATGCGTTAATAGATACACAATAAATTTATCTCTTTTAAAGTATAGCTATCTAGGCTTGCCAATTTTATATTTAGACTGGTTTTGATTTAATCAAACACAAAAACATATATTCCGTTGTCAAGGTGCAGATAGTAATGGCCTGTTCTGTTTCTGTAGACAGGAATCCTCCAGAATACAGGGTTTCCGGACTAGCAGGGTATCACTGTCAATGTGTAGTGAGTGAGTGAAAAGGCGGCGTATTGGGCATTCAACAGACCCGTGCGACACACGATCTTAGCCCGTACTTTAACATTGACTTACGAGAGTCGTTATGCTGAGACAACCGTAACTTCCATACCTTAACATAAACTTGCGAAATCCTTGCTCTGATAGTTTTGGGAATCGTTCGTTCTCATTTTGCAATGTGATCCTAGGGCCACGATTGTAACTATGTCACGATAGTACTAAGACACAGTGGTGGTCACGATAAGACCTCTTCGTGAAACGAGGCCCTGATCGTACGCCCAATGCACCTGTCGATTCATTCACTCCAAAACATCTACATATAAACACACTCTGCCACTTACGACATGGGGGATCCTGTTCCGTAAAGCTGATCAGAGCTCCAGTAATTAAACATAGACTTACGACAATTAAAGCTTTTTGGAAAGTGTCCCAGGGCCCTGTTTTACTATGACATCTTAGCCTCGAGACTGTCGTTACAGCCATACTAAGCCATCGACTTACGACAGCCGTAGAGCTAAAGCCTCTTTGTGAAACGGAACCCAAATCAGTGACCGATAGCCTGAGCATCGATCCATGCCATCCGCGATACAACTTGTTTATATATAGAGGTTTTCACGCGAGTGTGTTTGGGGATGGTTAATACCCTGTATGAAGAACATTGCATTTAGCAGGCCTTGACGACCTACATTCATAGTTGCCATTCCTAATACAGGACTGTTACCATCCTCAACACTAAAGCGCCATAACCCCTTTATCATATAATGTCATTCTTAAATCCTGTCGTCGATTATATATTACGTCAGAAGGTCAGTGGTTCGTCAGGCGAACATCCCTGAAGGTCAGTGATTCGTCAGTCGGACACACCTGAAGGTCAGAGATGAGTCAGTCGGACACCCCTGAAGGTCAGAGATGAGTCAGTCGGACACACCTGAAGGTCAGAGATGAGTCAGTCGGACGCCCCTGAAGGTCAGAGATGAGTCAGTCAAACACCCCTGAAGGTCTGAGATGAGTCAGTCGGACGCCCCTGAAGGTCACAGAGTAGTCAGTCGGACACCCCTGAAGGTCAGAGATGAGTCAGTCGGACAACCCTGAAGGTCAGAGAGTGGTTAGTCGGACACCCCTGAAGGTCAGAGATGAGTCAGTCGGACGCCGCTGAAGGTCAGAGATGAGTCAGTCGGACACCCCTGAAGGTCAGAGATGAGTCAGTCGGACGCCACTGAAGGTCAGAGATGAGTCAGTCGGATACCCCTGAAGGTCAGAGATGAGTCAGTCGGACGCCCGTGCGCCATTACCACCCAGATCCCCCTGGGTATGACACAGCTCAGGTACCATTTCATCAAAACATTGACCATCAAATTCACTTTTTAGACACAAACGCATGTTAAGTGGTGCCACGTGGTCCTGTGCACAGGGCACAGGAGAAGGTAGGCAACGTTTGTCGCGGAACAGATTCGTGGTCAGCAGTTTGGCTCCTGAGACTTTCTAGGGCTTCGCTCCAGTCCCACACTGAAGCACGTGTAACACATGTGGTGTAGCTTTAGCCATGTGACATTGTTCGAAACATGCCTCTGTTCACCCAGCAATGAATGGGTTCCATGTAGGATGAGGTGAGTGCCTCACAAACAGCTTGGGTTGTATACTCCCAAGGGAGCTGAGAATAAAATTGAGTATTCTGATCAATGCAGACTAATCCATTGATCGGAGGTAATAATAGATATATCATGGTCTACGTGTATTTGCGCAGTTATAAATTGGCAAGTGCGCCATACAAATTCATAATTTAATTAATTTCGATTGAAAATCGAGAACCCCCAGTGTGAATTTAATCCTAAACCCCACTACAAATTAATTTGCTTAAAGTTTACCTTTGTTAAAAGGGAATCATTACAAACCGCGAACAGTTAAAGTTCTTGTTGAAACCCCTGTCGCCTTTTGAAAGCACGTTTGTTGAAAAAAACCTAATTTCCTAAGAACTTTCATTACTGTTATAGTTTCTCCTAAATCACTGATATCATCTCGCATTTCACGTCTCCTGCTGAGACCAGTAGACGCCATTTTACTCGCTTTCAACCTGCACGAATTGTTGATCTTATATTCTCTTTCAATTTCACACCTTTCCACCCCTTTTTTCATCAAGTGCATTTTTGGTTTCAACTTAAGTGTTGATAATGTTTTGGTTGTTCGGTCGTTGGCTGCCGCGCCATTACAGGAGGTTTAAGAGAGTATGAGGCTTATGACTAGGTGTTAGGAAAATGTTCTAAAATGTCTTTGGCAATAGAAATTAATTTATGGGATACAGACACGAATTCCGCGGATTTAGAGCACCAAATGGCCTTTATGACTGTGATATCAAATAATTCCGAGATCCGCAGACAACGAGGTGCCTGTGTCATTATAGCGTGTTATTCGAAAGCTTTATTGTCTCAGTGCGGTCTTTGCCAAGACAAATGAATTTGGATAAAAAATTCCTTCTATTTTCACGTCAGGGTTTTTTGGTGGAGCCATGTTTTAAAACAACATACTTTTGGTTATTCACGACTGACTCCCCCCCCCCCCCCCCCCCCGTGTTATTGCTGGAACATTGCTAAAAGCGGCGTTAACCCATACTCACTCACTCACTCACTCACTCATTTGGACCAATTATTTCTGATCACCACAGGCTCGTGCGTAGACTAACATCTAGCCTCTGAACATGTGAACATATTTTACACACAGAAAGTGTTGTTAAATTATAGTTATGAGATATAATAAAAAGGAGCCCAGATGATCTCTTCATTTGCAGATTCTGCATTATTCTAGACTTGCTAAACATTATAGATTTGCATGGGCTGTATTGGCTATATTTGTTTCAGGGTCTGTATGATCAGCCCTTGCGCTGGGTCGGCCAAAGCGCCCTGCATGACCTGCACGCTTCTCCTATTGTTAGTGTCTACATAGTCCTGCACCATGAGTGTGGAATATATCTATTTTATGAAGAAAGAAAAAGAATATAGATTTGTATACAAAAGCAAATCTAGCCAGCTCAAGCTGGCTTAGTCTGTCTTACAGTCCCTGATACAAATATATATCAAATACAGCCCATGCAAGTCTATAATGTTTGGCAAGTCTAGATCACTGCAGTATCAGGATGAAGAGAGTCACCGGGCTCCTTTTTATTATATTTGTATTAAGATAACTGAACAACTGTTTTCTTATGTAAGATGTGTTCATTTCAGAGACTAGATGTTAGTCTAAAGCTGGCTCTATTCCACGTCATGTCATTTTAGGGAGGGGACCGGTCGAAATGGCGACCGGTAGTTAGGTCCCTTCCTTATCATATCAAAGAATCTTGATCAGATGACCGCCCTTGTTTACTGTAATAAAACACAGCTGGGCAATGGGGGGAGGCGTAGGTGTGTGGGGGGAGGGGTGGGGTGGGGTGGGGGGTGACCTGGGATGGCTGATCTCTACACGTGGTTCTAATGTATCTGACACACTGAACTGAACAAAGGCCTGATGTTGTGTTCTACGTATGGGCAGCCTTCTGTAAGTGTTTGACTGCATACCCTCGAGTTAACTACAACTGTTGGTATGGAAGGTCGTGCTATTGACGAAGCTGTATCGTTTGGAAAGCAACAGTTACATATTGATCACTTCAGGAATCATCAGAGACAAGTGATTGTAAGTTACCTCAGAGGAAAGGATGTCCTTTTTTGTTCTCCAACAGGAACAGGCAAATCACTTACTTTTGAAATAGCACCATTCGTGTTTCAGAAACTTAATGACTCCAACCATGCTACTGTGATTGTTATTTCACCCTTGGTGGCACGAATGACAAAACAAACAGAGAAGTGTTCATCTATTGGATTGAAATCTGTTTACTTGAAGGGTCAACATGACCCTACTCCTGATGATGATGATGATCTTGTACATGTAATGGACCAAATATCAATTCAGGATATTCAATCTGGTGACATTGACATAATATTTGCAAGTCCAGAGACAGTTCTTGGAACACAGCGTGATGTCATTCAAGACCTGACTAAAAAGAATATTTTGAAGGCAATTTTCATTGATGAAGCACATTGCATTGCAAAATTGTAAGTATAAATGTTATATTTAATGACATGACATGTTGAGTGAGTGAGTGAGTAGGGTTTTACCCAGCTTTTGGCAACATTCCCGCAAAATCACGGCAGAAATGTGCTTCGCACATTGTACCCATGTGGGACATCGAACCCGGGTCTTAGGCGTGACGAGCGAACGCTGTAATGACGAGGATGGTGTTCATATCAGTTACTGGTTTGTCTGAGCCAATTATGTACAGGCTGCGTTGATATACCTGCAATATTGCTGATAGCGGCATGCGACAACATTCACCCATCACTCATTTTCTGTTAAAACAAGTATAAAGAGTGTCAAGATCACTAAATATCTAATTTGTTATTCATAACATGAAAGTTAAAGCACAAAGAGTAACCTTCCAAAATGTACATTTGTCACATAATGAATATATACAATCACTTCTACAATCATCATGAACTTGACACATTGTTGTTCTGAAACAAGGACCGCAGCCCGACATTTTGTAATGGATGTTAATGCCCTTATGAAAAAGGAATGCATACAACCACTGCTCACATCAGCCAAGTTAAAACACTAAAACACTAAAGTTGAGCTTGAATAAATCAGTTACAAACAATAATCATCTAACAACATTGTTTTTTGCAATAGATATGTTGATCTAATTCTTATAGGGAGTTTAATTTCACAAAAGAAATCTGCTAATTTCAAGCTGCTGATTACTGAATTGAAGTTCAACATCAATCAGACATAACACCATCCAGAATATGTATGAATCAGAAACGACAATCAAACCTTAACAGCTTAAGACATTCATAGTGCTCGTCTTGACTAAAGTTTAACTTTAATTGTGTATTTTTTCAGCGGCAAGTGTAACACCGGCGTAAAGAATATTAGAAATGAAAAGGCCTTTCGACCAGCGTATGGAACACTTGGAGAACTCAGGGCACTAGCTCCAGGCATACCAGTGATTGCACTAACAGCGACTGCAACCAAGTCAACCCGAGATGTGATAATTAATGAAATGTGTTTGTCCGGCTGTGAACAAATACTGCTCTGTCCCAACAAAGAAAACATCAAGTACTGGCAGATATCAACCAGTGGCAACATTCGCCAGGATTTTTCATGGTTAGTTGCCCTGTTACGGGAACGGAATCGACAAACACCAAGGATGCTGATATTCTTCCGCAAAATCAAGCAAATAGGTGATCTCTTTGACTTTCTCAAATCAGAGCTAAAACATGATGCGTTTATAAACAATAGTGACGACGGAGTTAACAGTCATAAGAATCGTCTATTTGACATGTTCCACAGCAAGACAAACAGGGAAGTGAAGAAATGTGTGTCCCAGTCCTTCATGGATCCAAATGGTTTCAAGAGGATAATCCTTTGCTCCACATCTTTCAGCATGGGACTTGACTTACAAAGTGTGGAAACCGTCATCCACTATGGTCCAGCCAACAATGTTGAGGATTATATTCAAGAGACAGGACGAGCAGGCAGGGATCCAGAAAAGCAGGCACATGCTCTTCTCATGAACTTTAGACATTGTCTCAGTGGCAGGCGGAATATTTCGGATGAAATGAAACAGTATGTCAGAACCAAAGTATGTCGACGAGTTGAGCTACTGAAGTCATTTGACCAGAACCCTCAACAAATTCAACCTTTGCATAAGTGCTGTGATAACTGTGCCATATCTTGCAAGTGTCTCTGTTACTGCATTGACTCATGTACTTGCAATACTCAATGCAGTGAATGTAGATGGGATATTCTTGAGTTGTACAAGACTTCCCTTGACTCGAGCGATAGCTCATCATCTCACTCAGACTCAGAACATGAAGATCATGAAACATCCAGCGATAGCGACATTGCAACAGGGTCTCGTTTTAGTCACGTGACACTGAATTACACATCGGAAGAAGACTGAAAGGTTCAGATGTCATAGTATGTGCGTCTACTGAAGACTGACGACTTTCAGTAACATTTATTGTGCTCCTTGCAGCATGCAGAGTGCCAACAGACTTGTCCGAGGAGGATGAGTAACATTTAGTGTGCTCCTTGCAGCATGCAGAGTACCAACAGACTTGTTCGTTGAGGATGAGTAACATTTATTGTGCTCCTTGCAGCATGCAGAGTACCAACAGACTTGTTCGAGGAGGACGAGTAACATTTATTGTGCTCCTTGCAGCATGCAGAGTGCCAACAGACTTGTTCGAGGAGGACGAGTAACATTCATTGTGCTCCTTGCAGCATGCAGAGTGCCAACAGACTTGTTCGAGGAGGACGAGTAACATTTTTTGGGCTCTTTGCAGCATGCAGAATGCCAACAGACTTGTTCGAGGAGGACGAGTAACATTTATTGTGCTCCTTGCAGCATGCAGAATGCCAACAGACTTGTTCGAGGAGGACGAGTAACATTCATTGTGCTCCTTGCAGCATGCAGAATGCCAACAGACTTGTTCGAGGAGGACGAGTAACATTTTTTGGGCTCTTTGCAGCATGCAGAGTACCAACAGACTTGTTCGAGGAGGACGAGTAACATTTATTGTGCTCCTTGCAGCATGCAGAATGCCAACAGACTTGTTCGAGGAGGATGAGTAACATTCATTGGGCTCCTTGCAGCATGAAGAGTGCCAACAGACTTGTTCGAGGAGTATGAGTAACATTTATTGTGCTCCTTGCAGCATGCAGAATGCCAACAGACTTGTTCGAGGAGGATGAGTAACATTCATTGGGCTCCTTGCAGCATGCAGAGTGCCAACAGACTTGTTCGAGGAGGACGAGTAACATTCATTGTGCTCCTTGCAGCATGCAGAGTGCCAACAGACTTGTTCGAGGAGGACGAGTAACATTCATTGTGCTCCTTGCAGCATGCAGAGTGCCAACAGACTTGTTCGAGGAGGACGAGTAACATTTATTGTGCTCCTTGCAGCATGCAGAGTGCCAACAGACTTGTTCGAGGAGGACGAGTAACATTTATTGTGCTCCTTGCAGCATGCAGAGTGCCAACAGACTTGTTCGAGGAGGACGAGTAACATTTATTGTGCTCCTTGCAGCATGCAGAGTGCCAACAGACTTGTTCGAGGAGGACGAGTAACAGTTATTGTGCTCCTTGCAGCATGCAGAATGCCAACAGACTTGTTCGAGGAGGATGAGTACAAGTGTTTCCATATAACCTGAAAAAAATAAATGTGTTATTAGTACCAGGTAGTCAGTTGTTACACAGTGACCAGTCCGTTACTTTTGCTACAAAACAATAAACATTTACAAACCACACATTAACCGCCCATCTCTTGTTGAATTGAAATTGAAGAAAAATTAAAGGGAAAATGAAGTTATTATATATACCTTTAGAAATTCAGCTTGGTTATGGAACTCTTCCATCTTCGGGACTAGTCCTTGTAATCTGGAACTTGGTGTAGGTCCATCTTCTAGTGCCTGATGGGCTTGATTCTGCCTCTCAAAGGTCCCCCCCCCCCCCCCCCGCTGAGCACCTTCTGTGGGGGAGAACGGTCACTGAGGTCCTCACTGTGACCAGGAACTGGTGAAGAAACTCCGCTGTATCGGTCATCTGGTCGTTGAATTGTTCATTTCTTTGTAGAACTCAGCGTGGTATCTGAAATAAGTCTCCAGTGCATAAGTTTCTGAAACAATATTTTAATAATGTATTTTGATAGTAGTTTGTAACTGTGAGTAGGATATAATACAAACAGTATACTTGTAACAAATATATACGTATTTTAAATATGAATAATATGTGACTAGTGTTTGTTTTTGTTTTGTTTTTGTTGTTTAACGCCGCACTCAGCAATATACCAGCTATATGACGGAGGGCTGTAAATAATCGAGTCTGGACCAAACAATCTAGTGATTGACACCATGAGCATCAATCCACGCAAATGGGATGCGATGACATGCATCAACCAAGTCAGCGAGTCTGACTACCCGATCCCGTTAGTCGCCTCTTACGACAAGCATTGTCGCTTTTAAAGGACGCTTGTAACTAAACAAAAGAAGTAAATGTAATCAGCATCGGGAAAAATATTTGTTTAATTTTAGAGTCGAGAAGGTTATGTAATATAAGATTTTATAGACTAAATGTTAGTGTAGTGCCAACTGTAACAGTCCCCACAGCTTGAGATGCTGTTGGAGGTTTGACGAGCGCTTCAAGCTGGAAAATATGTGTTTAGAATGTAAACACAGGCAATACATGTTTAGATCTAAACATGATTAGGATTGTGCTTTAATCCTAAACGGAATACACATGTATCTTATGTAAACGCATTTAGGTCAAAACACATGAAATGAGCTATCGCCTCACAACCTAAACACCACCTAGATACAACATTCCCATTATCTAAACATGTTCAGAATTTAAAGACGTTAAAATATGTATAGATTTTAAACATGTTCAAAGTTTAAATATGTTTAGAATTTATACACGTTTAAACCTGTTTCAAGTTAAAACATGATTCGAATTTGAACCTGTTACAATAAAGGGCATATCATTAGGCAATAAGCCACGATGTATAATATATATTGAAATTAGATGTGCAAATCAGATTCACAGGCGCTTGCATAACACATCTACCACCACAGGACTTGGTCCACATCAACATCAGAATGTACAACCTGACCGAACTCGGGGACTGGCGGCGAGGAAACTTGCAACTCTACGACAGGAGTCTCCGTTGCACAGGTGGTAGCGTGAAGGACCACAAGTCAAGAGGCTGCAGCTTCGTATCCAACCGAGGTTTAAAAATATTTGTGTTCACAAATGTGTTGTTGCCGTATGGCTAATAGTATTTTTCTCATACAGACACCGACAGTGAAAGTATATCAGTATTCTACAACATACCCGCATCTTTGTTAACTTACCACCACCCATTCCCACCCCAAATTAGTCCACTTATACTGCTAAAAAATCTTTCATATCACACACACACACACTCTCTCTCTCTCTCACTCACACACACACACACACACTCTCTCTCTCTCTCTCACTCACACACACACTCACACACACACACTCCCTCTCTCTCTCACACACACACTCACACACACTCTCTCTCTCACACACTCACACACTCACTCTCTCACACACACTCACACACATACACACACCCTCTCACACACACTCACTCACACACACTCACTCACTCACACACACTCTCTCACACACACACTCTCTCACACACATACACACACACTCACTCACACACATACACACTCACTCACACACACGCACACACACACAAACTCACTTCTGTTTCCCCATTAAACGCTTATAAAAATATAGAAAGAACCCTTTTTTTAAATACCTATACTGAATTTCGAGGGGCGTATGCACAATTAAGCCTCAAACATGTTAAGTTGTTAAACACAACCCTAAACATGTTATGACCTAAACATTATGGTACAAGGGAAGTGTTTACGGTTGTGTTTTGGGTCTAAACGCATCTTTCACAGAGTAGTCAAGTGAGAGAGTTTGTTTTACCGCCGCTGCAATCAGTTGTTCAAGTGAGAGAGTTTGTTTTACCGCCGCTGCAATCAGTTGTTCAAGTGAGAGAGTTTGTTTTAACGCCGCTGCAATCAGTTGTTCAAGTGAGAGAGTTTGTTTTACCGCCGCTGCAATCAGTTGTTCAAGTGAGAGAGTTTGTTTTACCGCCGCTGCAATCAGTTGTTCAAGTGAGAGAGTTTGTTTTACCGCCGCTGCAATCAGTTGTTCAAGTGAGAGAGTTTGTTTTACCGCCGCTGCAATCAGTTGTTCAAGTGAGAGAGTTTGTTTTACCGCCGCTGCAATCAGTTGTTCAAGTGAGAGAGTTTGTTTTACCGCCGCTGCAATCAGTTGTTCAGTCAGATCTCCTCGTGCCGGCTCCATGTCAGTCCATAACTGTGGATTTATATTTTTTAGGTATTTTGTTTTACTAAAAACCTAGGCAAGACTAGATCTAACTAGTTTGCTTGTTAAACATGTCTTTAAAATAATTATTTTTATTTTCTTCGAAAGAACCTTCCTTCCTCTTCTGCTGTTTTCATAGACTATGGAATCAACTAAATTCCACAGTCATGGTGATGAAAACAGCAGAAGAGGGAAGGTTCTTTCGAGGAAGAACAATACATTTTAAAGACATGTTTTCATTGACGAAGTGTTAGTCTAGCTTGATGTGTAAAGAACTCCGAGTGATGCAGGCCGTGGAAGTGAAGCATGACGTGGTCGTGACGAGAGCATCTGGACAATGTACTGACCAACCAAGTCTAGTCATCAGTGGGAGTCTGGGATTCGAACAAACAGATTCCTTGGCGCAAGAGGCGACGATGCTTGTCGTAAAAGGCGACTATTCTTGTCGTAAAAGGCGACTCACGAGATCGGGTGGTCTGGCTCGCTGACTTGGTTGAGGCATGTCATCGTATCCCAATTACGTGGATCGATGCTCATGGTGTCAATCACTGGATTGTCTGGTCCTGACTCGATTATTACATAGCTGGAATATTGATGAATGCGTCGTTAAACAACAAACAAGCAGATCCTGGTACGGCGTTGTTTATCGTCATAATACCTATCTGATTAACAATAGCCAAACTTTCAGAGACAGGCAGGCCCCATTACATACAAATGGACAGGCTAGATGGAGCATATTCAGAAGGCTTCGGTGCGTTTGGCTAATTATATGTCATACGTTCAGCTTTGTCTGTTTCATTGTAACATCAGTGACCTTATGACCTTTGTAATGACCCCACGCTGTCAAACTGTTTGTATTATTCTGGCAAAGGAAATATCCTGATTATTTGCTAAGTTCGTAGTTTCCTTGTTGCTGAGGACTAAACCCATCGTTGGGACCGATTGACTGTTTCGAGAAAACACTCTGGAACAACGAAGTGGCTCGAAATATCGAGATATGAAGGAACTATTACATTCGAGATATAGGTACATTTAGATTTGCACCAGTCTCTAAGGAAATGATTATTAGTTTAAACAATAATTCCTAGCTTACACAAATAATGAGAACAAGTTGTCCCTGTTAAAGAATGGCATCCTAAGACTCTACTATCCGAATATCTAGACTTTCCTATTACAAGGACAGAATTACTATAAATCCATGGACTACTCACACAGTACAGCCTTGGAATGAGCCTACGCTACATTCGACGTAACACGACATTCGACGTAACACTACATTCGACGTTCGACGGTCGAGATTCAAGGACGACGTTGAGGAGTGAGCTCACAGAGGAGGACAAATCAGGAGCGCTATGTATTGTCTGCCACGCGCCATTTGTAATGAACACG